CCCAGGGCTTATGCATGCTAGACAAGCATTCTACCTCTAAGCCACACTCTCAGCCCTTGTATATGCAATATAAAAAAAAAAAAAAAACATCTGAAATACTGCTGGTCCCAAGTACTCTGGAAAAGGGATACTCACCCATACTATTTAACTTAATTCCTGTTCTGATCTAGCTCAAAAATAAGACATTAAAAATGCAAGGGAGTGGAGCTGAGAGCATCAGTGGGAATAAGGCTGTGCTCACACATTTCCAAAGGAACATCAAAAAAGGTACTTTAGCTTTATTCTGAATTTCAATAAATCAGTATGCAGGAACTACCCTTCCTATACCAAAATCATTTTGAACTTCAAACTAAATCAATAGCTTATAAAATTTAGAAACTGATGTGTAGTAGGGTTCTGGTGGCTCATGCCTGTAATCCTAGTGACTCAGGAGGCTGAGATCTGAGGGTCCCAGTTCAAAGCCAGCCTGGATAGGAAGGTCTGTGAGCCTCTTATCTCCAATAAACCACTCAGAAAACTGGAAGTGGGGGGCTGGGATGGTGTCTCAGTGGAGTGCTTGCCTTGCATGTATGAATCCCTGGGTTCAATTCCTCAGCATCACATAAGCAGAAAAAGCCGGATGTGGCTCTGTGGCTCAAGTGGTAGAGCACTAGCCCTGACCTTAAAGAGTGGAGGGACAGCACCCAGGCCCAGAGTTCAAGCCCCACAACCGATCAAAAAAAAAGAAACATGTCTACAGAAGAGTCCGGTTGTACTAATTTGCCTATGAGGGCGAAGGGCCAATGGTTTAGAGAAAAACGCAGACCATGAGCCATTCAGTTGGAAGCAGGCGACTCATGCCTGTAATCACAGCTACTTAGAGCAGGAAATCAGAAGATCAAGGTTTGAAGGGAAGGAGGGGGGAGGAAAGAGGAAAGGAGGAGAGAAGTGGAGGGGATAAGCTCTTAAGGAGTGAATTTGGGGTAGGCGTATAGTAGTCAAGTGCCTGCCTAGCAAGTACAGGGGCAGGGGACAGGGGCAAAGGGAAAGCTTTCTTTTTCTTTGTTAAGGATGGCTAGGCACTGGTGGCTCACACCTGTAATCCCAGCTACTCAGGAGGCTGGGCTGTGAGGATCAAGGTTCAAAGCCAGCCCAGGCAAGAAAGTCTGTAAGATTCTTATCTACAATTAACCACTAGAAAACGGGAAGTGGTGGTGAGGCTCAAAGTGGTAGAGTGCTGGTCTTGAGCAAAAGACCTCGACAGATGCCAGGCCCAAAGCTCAAGCCACATGACCAACAAAGGAAAAACAAAACAAAACACATGTCTCATCTCTACTCAGGGCTTTCCACTCTTCTTCCCTCCCAGACATTTGATTACAACAGTTGTGCTCATGCATTTAAAAAAAAATCCTGGGCTGGGAAGGTGGCTCAGTAGTAGAGCACTTGCCTTGCATGCCTGAGGCCCTGGGTTCAATTCCTCAGCACCACATAAGCAAAATGAAAAAAGCCGGAGGTGGCACTGTGGCTCAAGAGGTAGAGTGCTAGCCTTGAACTGAAGAGCCGAGGGACAGCGCCCAGGTGCAGAGTTCAGGCCCCACGACCGGACCCCCCAAAAAAATCCTTAAAATGTATACAAATACAGCCATATACACGTGTACGTGGATAGGTTTAATTTAAAAATTTTTAAATAAGTGAACTTCCAATCCATAAGTAGTGTGTCATGAAATCCTGACCAACTACTGAACACACAAAGCTGTGCTAAGTGGGTGAACCAAGCAACTGCTACCCCAATGGTGTGTTTGGACATCCTACTGGTCTGTAGGATGGCTTTGCTTTCCCGTTTGTTTCCAACAACAAAATGCTGGATCCAGTTCATATCCCAACTTCAGAAGAAGTCAAAAGTTTAAAAAGAAATCAGAAAAGACAAATATTAACAGAACTTATAACCAGTGCCTAAGTGTGAGGGAAAGGCAACCAGATCAAACAATCCACACTGAAGACACTGTGGAGTCTAGGTGTGTAACTCACACATAGTATCAGAGTACATGCAGCAAGCAGTACCTAGTGGTGCATACCTGTAATCCCAACTACTAGGGAGATGGAGGCAAGAGGAACTGGAGTTTGAGGCCAGCCTCCAAATTAACAAGACCTCAAAAACAAATGCCAAGGGCTGGGAAGGTGGCTCAGAGGTAGAGTGCTTGCCTGGCATGCATGAAGCCCTGGGTTCCATTCCTCAGTACCACATAAACAGAAAATGCCAAAAGTGGTGTGTGGCTCAAGTGGTAGAGCGCTAGCTTTGAGCCAAAGAAACTCAGGACAATACCCAGGCCCTGAGTTCAAGACCCAGGATTGGCAAACAAAACAAAACAAAAAATGAAGGCAAAACCACTTTGAGTTCAATCCCCAATCATTCGCACACGCACGTGCAAGTGAATAAAGGAGTTCTTAATCCTGGTAACATATTTTCTAAAAAAAAAAAAAAAAAAAGCTAAGTTTCTGAAGATTTGGATGGAGGTGTTCACTAACCTAGTGTGCTAATGATCTGAGCAACAACACGTGTCTTTTGGCCACTGTTCATGTCTGCTGCCTTCCTTCCCTCACGTCTGACCACCATAATCAAGCATTTCTCATTTCCACCATGTCACTCAAATGTCTTCCAATCACCCGCAACTTAAATGTCAGTTTAAACTGGGTGCCAGTGGCTCATGCCTGTCATCCTAGCTACTACGGAAGCTGAGAGCTGAGGATCACAGTTCAAAGTCAGCCCAGGCAGGAAAGTTCATGTGAGGCTCTTATCTCCAATAAAACCGCCAGAAAACCGCAAGTGGCGAGTGGTAGAGCGCTCATCTTGAACTGAAGAGCTCAGAGACAGCACCCAGGCCCAGAGTTCAAGTCCTGCAACCAACCAAAAACAAAAACAAAACAAATCAAATGGCAGTCTAGTGACTGTCCTCTGCTCCTTTCTGCTACTGTAGACAAAGCTAATCACAGCTTCTGGAAACTCTGTGCCTGAGCTCTTTGGCCTTTCCCGGCTGCCCCCACGGGACCACTCTTCTTTAGTGACATGCTGCAGTTCTCTATTCATCATTGTCTCTCTGAATTCATCAACTCTCAGTCTCACCGCTTAGCTTTCCCTAGATATCTGGGTGCACGCTTCAGGCACCTTACATTCAACCTGGCCCACAACCTGGCCCACACACATTCATCGCCTCTCCCCACACACCTCTGCGGCTGAGGCTAGCACCCAGTGCCTAGAGCTCACTAGGTAAGTGCTCTGTCATGGAGCTACAACCCCAGCCTTCCACCTTCTTCATAAAGCACCTCAGGAGGTGCCGCCCTTGGCTGGCCAGGATACACATCTCATCACTGTGGACTACTCTTCCTTAGTCCCACAACCTGTCCATCAACAGGGCTGCCCATTACCTTCCTAAGGGAAGTTCTTGTTTCCACTTCCGCCACTGCTGGTTTTGGCTCAGGTCCTTAGTGCCGTTCACTCATTTACTCCTTGAGCTATTTACATACTATTACCAGATATGTCCTACCCTGGTGAACCTTACACTTTTTTTTGGGGGGGGGGCGGGGTTGGGCGGTGGGATCTCCACATCTGATCAGACATCAGAGACATGGATGGAATGCTAAGAGCTGTGAAGGGTCCAGCTTTGTTTCGGGAAGATTTCCCAAGGAAGCCCCAGCTCTGCTGCTCAACAGAGGGAAGCATTTTACATAGTGGGCTCAGTTAGTCAGAGACAAGAGTGGTCAGTGTAATGGGGGGAGGAGGAGGGAGAGTGAGCACTGGAGCTTGAACTCAGGGCCTGAACTCAGTCCCTTAGATTTTTTGCTCAAGGCTAGTACTCTACCACTTGACCTACAGCTCTACTGCTGGCCTTTTGGTGGTTAATTGCAGCGTCTCATCGACTTTCCTGCCGGGGATAGCTATGAACTGAGATCCTCAGATCTAAGCCTCCTGAGTAGCTAGGATTATAGGGGTGAGCCACGGGGGCTCGGGATGGCTGGAGTAGAGAGCGGGAAGGCTGGGGTTTTTGGCTGCACTCACTTTAGGTAAGCCACCACCGAATGCTTGAAAGGTATGAAAACAAGAGACAGGGAGGTTTGGAGAAACCACTCCATCTGCTGTGGCTTTCGGAGGTGAGCAGGCAGGGCTTCTGGGAGGGACACACGGCGCAATCCACCGAAGATGGTCTCGGGTTGAGCGCCAGGGCTTCCAGGCAGGCTGGGGGAGGCCCCGGGCCCCGGCACTGGCTGGCTGCTGGGGGCAGGGCCCACCGAGGGCACCGCTGGAGCCTTGTTCGGCCCCGGGCTGTGGGCCTCCAGCTGACCCCTGGGCGCCGCCGCTACTGCAAACTCTAGAGTGGACGTCTGACCACTCGGCGTTGGCGTTTTAAACCGCTCTGGATCAGAACTTCGGGCGTGCAGATTCGGCGCGTTCGCGTGTGGGAACCGTCTGCTGCCTCGCCATCACCCCGTCTAGTGGCCGGAGCGGGCGTACTTTCGGGGCGGGAAGGTCCGCCTCGCTCTCCAGCGACCCAGGTCACCTTACACCGCACGCAACCCCCGCACCCCCCAGCCAAACGCTGCGCCTCCGAAAGCGACCACGACCCCTGCGGTGCGCTCTGCCCCGGAACTCCGCGAACCCCAGAGCCCGCCCGGCCCGGCGCGCCGCCCAG